ATTTAAGAAAAAAAAATGTTATGAAGAACCTAGGGGTAAAACAGGAATAAAGACACAGACCTACTGGAGAACAGACTTGAGGATATGGGGAGGGGGAAGGGTGAGGTGTGATAGGGCGAGAGAGAGACATGGACATATATATACTAACAAACGTAAGGTAGATAGCCAGTGGGAAGCAGCCGCATGGCACAGGGAAACCGGCTCGGTTCTTTGTGGCTGTCTGGAGGGGTGGGATAGGGAGGGTGGGAGGGAGGGAGACAAAGAGGGAAGAGATATGGGAACATATGTATATGTATAACTGATTCCCTCTGTTATAAAGCAGAAACTAACACACCATTGTAAAGCAATTATACCCCAATAAAGATTTAAAAAAAAAAGAAAAAAGACTATCAGCATAAAACAGTTGGTTCTACTTTTTAGAAACTACTTAAATTTCAGGACGAAAGACCTGGTACGAACTTTCCAAAATGTTTTGCAAATTTAATGCATTCTCATTTCCTGTGTTATTTAATGTGTCTGAATTTGAATTGGAAATTTTAACTCTCTTTTCATGGACTTCTATTAGTCTATGGCATACATCTTAGAGTATCCTAGATAAATCAAAGACTATTTGATTTCACACACTTGGGAACATGTTATTTCATTATTACATTTACTTTTGCATATTCTGTGACATAAAGTTAATGTACTCTTAGAGCTGCTGATACCTGGAGTCTCTGAACTATATCCCTTAGAGGTTGTTTTAGGACTGCTGGTGCAATTAGAAACAAAAGTACCAAAATAAGGATTGCCTCCAAAACACACGGTTGTTGGATACCCTTAATCTGCTGGCAGAGCCCCATATTTTAGCTGTAAATGTTTTAATGCCATTTATTGACTCATGCTTCTCAAATGCAATACACTGCACCGTTAATTTTGTAGTTTCATCTCTGAAAGCTATAAATTGAGCATTCCTATTGTCTTAATTTTCTGTAACCTTTAATAACATTTGTGAAAGAACACAGGATAGAAGAAATTGTTCTTATAGAAACTCTTCTTTCTCTTTCACCCCACAGCAGTCACTGGAAAGGCAGCATGTCTTAGATATCCAAAATTCACTGTTTAGAATGAAAGAAAACAAGTTCAAGCTTAGATACTAGCTTGGAGCTTCCAAAAAGGGCCCTGATCCTGGTTTGTCACACTCAGCTTCTCTTTTTAAGATAATGACCTTCCCCCAAACCGCACTCACATGTTTCAGCTTGCCAGGAAGGGATGGATTTGAAAACCAGTTATCCTTGAATGAATCCCATTGTCCTTAATTTATTTGGCCACCCACCGGGCATTTGGTAGTCAGAGGCAAGGTGAGTCCTTTGAAGCAAAGGGACTGCAGCCGCTGGGGAAACCAGGAGGTCATGCCTCACTCACAGGCTCACAGAAGTGACCAGGGGATATAATACATTAAATCACCTCTTCAAGCTGCTATATACTAATTTACACAGTGTTGCTATATTTGTACATAATATCATACAGGGATAACACTGTATGTGTATACAATGTTGTATGATAATAATGACTATCTCATTTAATATTCAGTCAAGGCCAGGCCCCACATGAAGGGGTGTACATTATCTCAAATTGTTTTGCCAACGTTAGGAAAAAGACATTACTATAAATATTTTGTGCAGATGAAGAAATTTAAGTTCAGAGAAGTCACATGATTTGCCTAAGGTCACATCTCTTCTGCTCCCAAATATTACTCTTTATTCCACATTGCAATTCACCAATCTGTCTGTTGTTGTTTTAACTATAGTCGAATTAAAACCTGTGAAAGTATGTTATTTATAAATAGAAATACAAAGCCACTCTTTCTCCTAGACCAGGACTGATCTTGTGGGGCTGGCGGTAAGTTTCATTACCTGTAGAAGTGTGGATGGGGACACCGGTTGGTGCTACCAGTGCCATGTGCTCCCCCCTGGTCTACCTATTTCCCACTGGTCCCCTGGGAAGACTGCTGACATGGCTGTGCATTTGCTAGCTACTCGGCCCCTCTGATCATTTCAGAGAAAGCCCAGCTGACATTAAAATAGGACAGAAATTGCAAAAAGGAGAAGGCAGTAGAATTATGCTAAAGCTTGTGCTTCGAGGGAACATTAACAGAAGGATAAGGTCATTATATTTGAAGGAATATTCTCTCTTTCGTTCTTTTGGTCATTTATATTGGGTCTCACTCTCAAAAATATTTTGTTGTGGGACTGGAAAAATATATCTTTGAATATGAATTTAACAAGACATTGATTACATGAGGGTAGGGAAAAAGGAAACAATATGAAATTGTTCTCAGATACATTGAAATTAAGGATGAAATATTTTTTCTAATGCTACATGCTGTACATTTCTAATTTATTTTTAATTGTAACTAAATACATCTGTTACTAAAGACACCTGCTTAAATAAAAATGTATATATGGTTCTGTGAATATGAATAAAATATAATCATAAAGCAAGGTTTATTAAAATGCTATTAAAGCTAAATTATTTTTAGACTGAAAATAGTATTGTATTTGGAAATCCTGTGATAAGCTTCTACTGGTAGAACTGGATCTGTGGTAACAGCCACTTTGAAGAATAGTTTTAAGTTTTAGAGCTAGAATGCTCCAATTTTGTAAGATGACCCTCTGGAAATACAGCAAGCTGCATTCTGGCATATTGTACTGACACGTTTCTAAGATAAGTAGAAAATGAAGCTGAAGCTAATAGTTTTTCCGCTCAAATGTCAGAAAGATACTAACCAGAAAAATAGTTGAATGTAGAATTCCTGGTGCATGCATTTAGAAATGTTCCCAAATAATCAGCTAGGTGTGGGACCAGTTAAGGCCATGATATAAACTGTAAATAAACAGGGGATGTATTCCTAAACTCAGTCACTGCTTTTGTGAAGCATATGAACATTTGTAAGTTAAAGAATTAAATAAGTAGTATAATGAGGAATATGTAGAAACCAATTGTTTTTGTTTAATAGTCTAGAGCTCCCAAGAGATGTATCTGTCTTAGTGGCAGCTGTGCTTATTCTTCTTTACAGGGTTCCTTGAGGATGAGGGAGATTCTAATCATCTTTTGAATATCACTGTCTTTCTTATTTTATACAAAGATACAAAATGTTGCTAAGATTTAAATTCCGGATCCCACTGTAGGACAAGGAGAGCATTAACACGCGTGGCGTCCCCCTACTCCTACTCAAGCAAGGGAGCGGGATGCTGGCACTCATCTTCCATGAGAGGCAAGTACAGAAGCAAATGTTTATGGAGGGGAAGAGTTACAGAGAGGCAACTTTTGCAGCTAAAAAATGGAAATAGTAATAGGACATACATCATAGGTTTCTGTGAGGACTATTGAGGAAATATTTGTGAATCACACACTTCAAAAGTGTTAACTATAACTGAGACTTCTGGGGGTGAGTGTTCCCTGATTCTTCCATTTCTGTCTTTATCTCTAGCATTCCTGTCTTTATATCTATCTCTTATTTGATGCCGCTATGCAGTAAAAATATGAATTATGAATCCAGAATATTTAAGCAAGTATTTTCCACAAAGTAGAAATGCTGTTACTAAAACTTTCAGTTTAGATCATAAAAGACTGAATTACTAACACCCAGTTTTTACTTTCCTGTAAGAGTGACCATCTCATCTAAATGACCACATTAACTCTATAGTGTTTAGATATTTTGGAACGGATATCAATTCATTCAATTATGAGCATTCTTAAGCTCCCATAACCCCAGTTGAAGTCCTTTTTACTAAAAATGTTTAATATTAAACATATAGGTAGGCCCTACTCCCAAAAGACAGCTAAAGACTCTGATGATCCCATGATTTCCTGAATAGTCTGCCTGATGAGGGAGACTTTTAATAGCAATTTAGGAAATATATGAAAAATAATGATTCCAAAAACGACTTCTTTGTGATTGAAGCTGTTCAGTTTTTAGTTTGATTTTTTTCTTGTCTGTACAATAAACAGATCATGTTGCAAAATTTTCATGCACTGTTCCACTAAATTACTAACTTACTTACATGGCTGTCAGAAATTAACTTCAAATGTTGGCTTACACCATGCATATAAGAAGTATGGAACTTCAAAGTTAGCAACATAAAAGAAAATTAGATTCACATCGTTTCAAGAGGTACAAAAGGAAAATCACAGTGTCAATGAACAGATGTACATCCACTGCCTGCCAGGAGGTCACCACAACTTGCTAATACCCTTGGGTGAAGCAGATTCACTTCAGTGCATCAGTGCTTTCCAAACCTTATAGAATACTACTTTACAAAAGAAATACATCAGCACATATATATTTAATCAGTATGCACCATCAGCTAAGTAACTACGAATCATCTATTTTTCTTTTTTTTAATAGAAATAGAACTTATATTAAAACTCTCCAAACCGCCTGTACCAGATTTTAATAATATTGCTTTAAAAATTCCTCTTAAATCAATTATAAAATCTGACTGTAATTTTAACAGGGAATACCTAAAGGTAGAATTACTATCAAGAGAAAGGACAAACTCAAAACCTACTAACGTATTCAGAAGACCGTTTAAAAAAAACTTTACAATTTAATTATGGGAAGATTATAGAACTGTTTCAGTGCTTCTGTACTAAGTAAGCTGTACATGTGAGGAGTAATAAATGAAATTGTTAATTTTACTCTTTCC